TGTGAAGGCATAACGCTGCAGCTGGGGCTGCCCAGGACAAATCCTGCAGATCCTGGGAGGACACAGTAAGGGATCTAAACTTCATCCTGTTGGCACTAAGGAACCATCAAGGATGATAAACAAGGAAGAGAGATGATTCACACAGCACTAGTTAGTTGTTGGCCCCAGGAATACAACTGACTCAGAACTGAGCTCTTTTCATGGACCCATAGCCCCGAGGATGGACAGCCACAAACCTAAGGGAAATTAGTAAGGAAAGCAAAAGATATCTAGCTTACAGGAAGGCTTATAGCTTCCTAGCAGATAGGGGTGTCTTCTACCTACTTCCTTGTCTGCTGCCAGACCTATAGAGCAATTTTTTTTTTCTTTTTGCTTTAAAAGCACTAGACAAAGGGCGCCTGGGTGGCTCAGTTGGTTAAGCGACTGCCTTCGGCTCAGGTCATGATCCTGGAGTCCCGGGATCGAGTCCCACATCGGGCTCCCTGCTCAGCGGGGAGTGTGCTTCTCCCTCTGACCCTCCCCCCTCTCATGCTCTCTCTCTCTCTCATTCTTTCTCTCAAATAAATAAAATCTTAAAAAAAATAAAAGCACTAGACAAAACTAGAAAATAAAAAATATATATTTTGCCTTCATTTCTAATCATTCTTTGCAATCAAAATTTAAAATTGTTGTTTTTCTATATCTTGATTGCTAGTATTAACAGCACAGCCACTGCATGAAACAAATTGTTCTTCAGTGACACCTCTTAAAGGCAAAAGTCATTGTAAAACAGGGAGAAATTTAATTAAATGGGGAGTATTTTCAGACCTAATGTTTAGTTAAATAGCAACTGGATAGCATACTTTAGTAATACTAATTCCCCCCCCCCATTCTATTTGCAAAGTTTTCTGGTGGTCTATCACACCGAGGAATGTAATGGATGTGATAAGCTACCTGAATCCCCGTCAGGAATAGAAGAGTCCTTCTTCCAGCTCCTAGGAGTGCCACCAGCACACAGCCCTCATCTCTCAGCCCCCTTTGGGCGTTGCCACAGCTGAAGGGAGCCACCTCTCTCCCCCTTCACCCTCAGCCATACCCAAGGACGAGGGATGCGGGCTCACAGGGGCTCAGCCCTCTCTCCGCAGCCCCCACCTGCTCCAAAGGGCACCCTGCCGTGGTCATTCCCTGCAGGGTTGGTTATAGGAGGTTTCTCCTGGGTCTGCATCCCACTCAACTTCTTTGACCCATCCTTCCTTCCCTTCCACAGGTGTTGATCCCATGAGTCCACCCTAATAAATCCCTGAAAAGGGGATAGGGGCCTCGTCGTCCTTGGTCCACACAGGCAAGAAACAGGAAGTTCTGTCATGCTGAAGAACAAGGCCTGAAGGTATTTTGCAGGTGGTTTACTATCTTCAGGCATGAGCTAGTGAAGGGTGAGAAGTAAAACCTAAGGGCCTAGTTATAGGTATGTGGATGACTCAAGTTCTTGTTTGGTAACAGTGAAAACTAAAAAATACTTCATCTGCTGTTTATTCTCTTTCCTCTCTTTATCCTCTGTCCTTCCATCCTTCCATCTCCATCCTTTCTCCCTACAGCCACCCCAGCAGCCTCCCATACACAAGCCCAGTGTGATCTGAAAAGCAAGGTGTCTTAGTCCATTCAGGCTGGCTGTAACAAAATACCACAGGCTGGGGAGCTTGTAGTACAGAAATGTTTTTCTAGAAGTTCTGGAGGCTGGAAGTCTGTGATCAGGGTGCCAGTATAGTCCAGTGAGGGCTCTCTTCCCAGCTGCAGACTTCTGCTTGTATCCTCACATGGCAGAAGGGGCAAGGGAGTTCCCCTGGGACATCTTTTGTAAAGGCACTAATCTCCATGAGAGCTCGACCCTCGTGAATTAATCATCTCCCAAAGCCCCCATCTCCTAATGCTACCACATTGGGCACTAGGATTCTAATATGGGAACATACGGGGCAAAAAAACATTCAGACCATAGCACGTGGCAAAGCTCCTGTGCTCTAAACATAGTCTCCTACTACTGACTAGCACACGTTCATCTTCTTTATGCACAGACTTCACACTGAAGCCATTCTTCTGGATAATGCAACAGTCAGCAGCATGAAGCTCCTACTCAGGTACATGCACATTATAAGGGAAAGGAGGCTTTGAGAGCCTTTGCATATTTTGCCCGTGTCTTTGCCTATTTGCAAAGATTCTTCTTTTCTTTCAGGCTTACTCAGGAAAATGTCACTATGGAGGGGAGCAAACCTGGCAGAGAGTCTCAAGATGGTAGATAGGACAGGTAAGTTTCAGTGGGATTGGACGTCAGCCAGAAGGTCTGGGTTTCTGGGGTTAACTTCCATTCCAGAAGTATGTGGTGGTGTAGAAAGAAATACCATCCAAAAGAAGGGACTATTGACACCCTGAGTACCTCAGAAAACTACTCTGCCTCCTCCTCAATCTTACCCACTGGCTGGGTTACTAAAAACCTCTCAGCTGTCAGACCTCATGGACACTCTTCATTCACTGTCTGACCCAACCTTTGAGTGAAATGTTATGTTGCGGACCAGCCCTTCCTTTTAGAAGCCACTCGACCCTTGGCCTCTGGTACCTACTTCTTTACTAGCTTCCTTCTGCCCCACTGTTGCTCCTTCTGGCTTTTTCTCCAGACTCCATCCTGTTTTTTCTCATTTTACATATTTCCTGATGAGAAGTGATGAGCTCCTGAACAGCTACAGCAGTAGTGGGGATGAAGAGAAGATAGTGTGGAGGTTACGTGGAAGAGGTTTCAGTTCCATCAAGTCAAACATGGGGGGAGGAAGAAGCCTCTGAACTGCCCCCCTCCCCAGGTAGCCCACCCCACAGTCAGAGTGAGAAGTCCCTCAGGATCCTATAGCACTCTTGGAATACCTCGGCCAGCCCTTACCCTTACCCTTGTCCCATGGTCATGTGGTGGTGAATTTGTCTGTCTTTCCTCCTAAACTGTGAGGTCCCCAGTATCTCCACAGAGCCTGACACACTGCAGTCATCCTGTTACTGAGTAAATAAAGGAATGCAATACTTAAAATGTGTGCAAATAAAAATATAGCAAATGTTGCCATATATATTTAAAATGATCTTCCTTAAGATGCTCTACTGCTGGTCGTGGTATCAAAGTTCAAATTCCTCACTGAGTTCAAGAGAAAGGGAAATCACCACCCTCTTCTTCATCTTATTTGTAATTTTTCTTGACTCATAGTCATCAGTGCATAGTTTAGCCCATAATTGTTCTGTTTATGTGACTGACAACCCTTCAGCAAAGCCTGAAGGCTAATGTCATTAACTCTTATAGATTTTGATATCAATTATATAACCTAGCACGGTAGCTGCTCAGTAAATAGTAAGTGGGCAAATGGATTGATTACTCCTAAACTTGGGCCAGCAGCTCCAGCCAGATGGGTAAGTATTTTTATATTTCCTGTACTGCCCCCACCCTCTCTAATTCTGTCCACATCCCACCAGCCAGCCTGCCCACTCAAGCCTCCTTTCCCTTCCTAAAATCACCAAAATCCAGAGAACCCCAAACTCCCAAAACACATATGTACTTACCCATACTTGTACATGTCTCATTGTCACGCAGATGATCATGTGTTAAAAATGCCATATGACTTCCGCTAAACTCTAAGTTCCTTGAGGGCAGGCAATGTGTATTTTTTTTTTAAAGATTTTATTTATTTATTTGACAGAGACACAGTGAGAGAGGGAACACAAGCAGGGGGAGTGGGAGAGGGAGAAGCAGGCTTCCCACGGAGCAGGGTGCCCGATGTGGGGCTCCATCCCAGGACCCTGGGATCATGACCTGAGCCGAAGGCAGATGCTTAACGACTGAGCCACCCAGGTGCCCTGAGAATATGTATTTTTATCTTTCTATCATTCCCTCTACAATTTCTTCCAGCGCTTTACATGCATGAAAGACTTTCGAGAAATATAAAACTAACTGGTTTAAGTTCAATTTTAAATATTCTGTTAGAAAATACCTCAAATTTTAATCAACAAACCATTCCTCTTCCAGAGTTAGAATAGTCAGGGTTCTAAAACCTGAGCCTAGGCCCTCTAGGCCTAGGTAAGTAAGGAAATATTTCTGGTTCCTGGGCCTAGAGATGGGGCTGCATATCACCTGGCCCCTGTAGCTTCTGTGTTTGTTTAAATTACTGTAGGTGTTTGGTTGCAATCATAAAGTCATTTTTTCAGGCTTATGACATATTTTCCCCAATTATGAATGTAATTTATGCCACCAACCGATTTTTCTTGAATGGACAATGATGATAGACCCCATATCCAAGTCATTTCATTTTTGTGTATAAATTCTCACACTGTAGTCTGTTCCTTGGAAATACTAGTTACATAGATAATAAGTAAAACCTTTTAAGAGGAAATCCATTTAAATCATCCCTCGCTGTTTCCCCCATGAAGAATGCTGCTAGCCAGTAAAGGAAGTCAAAATCCCTAAAAATGAGAGGGGAGAGGGAAACAGTTCATCCCGCCAAGCTCAGTATAGCATGACAAATCTACAATCTGGCTTCTCTCTCCGCAACTATCTAAAACACACCACTACAGAAATTGGTCACCCCCAGGTCTAAAGTGTCAATGTCATTGCAGGGAAACAGGCCTTTTCAGGCGGGTCTGATCACAAACACGCAGAATGGGAGGCCGACAGTCTCAGCAGATGAGCGTTTTTTAGACAGGCTTGTATTTCACTTCCAAGCCCAAACCAGGAAGTGTTGTTTAAGATGAGTCAAGCACTAAAAACACTTTGGCCTCGGAAACCAAACCGACCAGACTCCAGAAAGGCTATAGGGGTTTAAATTTGGGACTATTCTTCGGTTTGGATTGGAACCTACGGCTTCCTACCCGTAAGACGTTTTAAACTTTCCCAAAATTGCACCCCCCCAAAAAAAACCCAAAGTGAGATGACATAAAAGACACAGAGGCGAGCGTACACACCTACACAAAACACACACATCTATACAAACACGTGCACAGACCAGTTTGTTTTTGTGATCCGCTTCCTTATCTAGACAGTCCAGGCTTGGGCCAGATTTGAGTTGGTAAATTCTTCTCCAAACTAAACCAGGGCAGATTGCAGAAAAGGTGTTTAATTCCGGAGATTTTTAAGAAGTGTCGAGGCGTAGCCAGGCCACGCCCGGGTCCCGCTTTCCCGTTGCACAACTGAAAGCCATGTCCGGGCAAGTCGAAGGAGGAACCCTGAGACCTCCAGCCCCTCCTCCCTGCGACCACGGGGAGCAGCGGAGTCCTGGGAGGCGGGGAGGATCAATGGATGTAGAAAACGGGGCCGAGGGTGTTAAGTTTTAGCCCCGGGAGCCCCGGACCGCTACAACGCGGACAGCAGCCAGCCGCGCGCAGGAAGAGGAGGAGCCGACCGGGCAAGGGGGAGCCACCGCGCGGGCTCGGGGCTGGGTCGGAAAAGCTGCCTCACGGGCGCCCGCCCTCCGGCCCCTCCGCTCCTTCCCTTCCTCCCCGGGCCTCCCTTCTAGTCTCCGCTGCGCCCTCCCCGAGGCAGCGTTTGCAGCGGCCTTGCCATGTCTCAGCCGGGCCAGAAGCCCGCCGCCTCCCCGCGGCCCCGGCGCGCTGCAGCGGCCCGCCATACACAGGAGGTGAGTGGCGCTCCTCCGGGAGCCGCAGGGCTGAACGCTGGGGAGACCCCAGCCCCGGAGCTGTGGGCCACCTCCTCTGGGCGTAGCCTGCCTGACCTCCCGGCCCGTGCGCCCCCTCCCTGGCCGGGGAAGGGCGCGGGGCTCAGGACCGGCCGCTGCGCAGGTGGCTGGAGGTGGCCGGGTATTCCCGGGCCCCAGCCAAGCGCGCTGGGCGTGGCGCGAGCTCAACAGGGGGTGGCCCGCGTCGGAAAAAGTTGGATGGGTGAAATGACAATAGGGATGAAAGGGGGAAGAAGTTCATTCGGGACCCCCAGAGTTGGGGGGGTAGTTTAACTGGACGACGAAATCCTCTCTTCCGCGTAAAACCCAGGCTGCAGGGCGTGGCTGCCCGGAGAAATAAAACATCTTCCCTAACTAACCTCGAGCCAAATCGGGCAGGGTGGGGCCAGCCGGCGGGGGCGGGGCCTGCTTCGGGCGCCGCCCAGGTGCCTTGCCTCCTGAAGGCTTCAGGGCTTGCAGAGCTCAGAGCTCGCCAGCTCCAAGGCAGGAGAAGTGGGAGCCCCGTGCCTGCCGCTCCGCACCCCGCGTCTTCGCCGGGCCCTCTGCCGCGCGGCTCAGAGCAAACCGGTTGTCGCCATGGCGTTCGCAAGCTGGTGGTACAAGACGGTAAATAGGAGGGGTAGTGCTTGGGCAGAAGGGAGTGTGTTTGCTTTGTCTTTTCCGGAGTGCGGATGAAGTATTGTCCGGGTGTTGGCTGGGAAAGGGTGGGTACCAGGGGCGACCTCCTCTTAGGACTTCAGGTTAGGCTCCGGGAGAGGCCGAGACTCACCCTACTGTGGTATGCAGGAGCGCGCCCGGGCGTGCGAGTCGATGTGAGCAGATGCAGGAGGCGCTGCTCCGCTCACAAGTTGAACGGGACAGGAATTGTTGCTGGAGGAATTCCGCCCCTGGATGCGTATTCCTGGATGAACTCAGCTCGTAAGAGCAGAGATCTAATGTTTTTAACTTGTAAGCAAAGCTCGAAGCTTTTAGAGAAATGTTCTTGGACATGCATTTTCCAACACAAAGAAGGAGAGACAGCCGGAATGGGAGGCAAGGAGAAAACCCAGAACTCCGAGGAGCAGAAGCAAGTGAGATCAAGACCTTTGTTGAGAATGAGACAGAGAGAGCAAGAGCGGTTCTGTACTTTATTCCACAAAAAATACACAAAAGTTGTGTTGATAGGTGAGAATCAAAATATTTATATCCCACTGATTGATTGATTATGTGAGAATTTCAAAAACTTAGTTTAAGTACACCTCTTTCTCAGCGTGTGGTATTGGGAAAAGCAAGGTTATTGTAATCAGACACTCTTTAGAGGAAACCTTATATTGGAATCAGTAAACTTGTCACTGATAAGCCAATGGCCATTCACTGAGCATCTACTCTGTGCCAAGGAGGGTACTAGCCTCCAAGTACACAGTGGAGAATAAGACGATAGTTCTTTTTCTAAAAGGGCAGTGAGTCAACCTTTCTGAACCTGTTTCCACATCTGTAAAAAGAGGGTTATAATAGGCACCACATAAGGGGTTGTGGGGACTGATAAGATTCATAAATCAAAGTACCATACCCATATACTTTTAATGATTGGGAATTACAGTTTCCCTTTAGATATTTCATTGTAATTGTTTCTCATTACGTTTTCTTATTTATGTGCTAAAAGCAAAAGTTTGCTTTGAGTCATTATTGTCCTAAGGTTCTTATCAAAATGCACCACATGAATTATCTGCAAATATGGATAGCAGCATTTCAGAGTTGATATCAGACTTCGCTTTCCAATTCATGATTCTCTAAAAGAAATTATGCTGGAATATTTGAAGTAGTTTAAATCAGTGCTTTTAACCCTGTTATTTTTTTAAAAAGTTTTTGAAAAGATTTTATTTATTTGAGAGAGAGATCATGTGCGTGCCGGAGTGGGGATGGGGGAGGAGTAGAGGAAGAGAGAGAAGCAGACACCCTACTGAGAAGTGAGCCCTATGCCAGACTCTATCCCAGCACCCTGAAATCATAACCTGACCCAAAGGTAGAAGTTTAACCTACTGAGCCACCCAGGCGCCCCTAACCCTGTTATGTTTAGGCATAGTCCGTCATTTTGCTAAAATCTCTCTTATAATCCAATTTGGGAACTACTATAAAATTTTTTTGCCTCTTAGAATCAGCAAACTGTCTGCGATCAGCTTTGATTCTTCCCAAACCAGTGCCATCTGAAAGAAATTTTGTGAGAATCACATAGGTAATTTAAAATTTCCTAGTAGCCACATGAACAAAAGCAAATACAGGTGAAATTAATGCTAATAATATATTTTATTTAACCCACTATATTCCAAACATTATTTCAACATATAATCAATGTACAAACCATTGAGATATTTTAGATCTTCTTTTTTATATTAATTCTTCAAAATCCAGTGTTCATTTTATACTTATAGCAATTCATACTTGCTACATTTCAAGTACTCAGAAGGCATCAGTGGCTAAGGGCAATGGTACTGGACAATATAGCTCTAGACACAGCTTCCTAACCATTTTTGTTTGATGGTTATGAGGGGGTGATCATGACCATTTTGAGAATTAAATGAAAGCTACTGACCATTTTCCCTCAGCAAAATACACACACAAATACACAAAAGCTCACCCATAAATCCTCTAAAGGTCCACGGAGCCAATTTATAACACATATATTTCACGTATATAAAATATGAATTATAATATACAATAATATATATAATATAATTATATAGTATTATATACTCTGTAATATAATGTAATTATATAGTGTTATATACTGTACAATATATGATGTTATATACCATTATAGTTATATAATATATAAATATATGATTTATATATTATATATGTATTTTTATCATGAATTTTATATAGTATATATTATGACATATATGATATATATAATGCTTCTGGTAGATCCTATAATTAAAGTATCTTTACTAGGATCCTTTAAATACTGAAAAAGATTGTGAATGACCTAACTTTAAAAATCTAGGCAGCATAAGATAAAATAATTAAAAAATATATCTATGATGTTGTTTAAGGGAGTGCTACCTATAAAGCCAGTCAGTGAAACACATTACAATGTATATTTCCACCATCAATATCATTGATCTTATCTTCCAAAGAATTATGTGATTGTAGAAAAAAAAAACCAACAAAACAACTTTAAAAAGCTAGATCTGAAAAACATCCGATGAGCATCATAATGATGAAGCATGAAGGAGAGTAAATTTGGTTGATATCAGGAATCACATTCCTGAGTCATAAATTGACTTGATTAGGCCATGTTAATTAAAGGTGTTTCTTAGTCTAATTAGAGCCATGGGCCCAGTGCCAGCATGATCAAGGAGCCCAGTCATTTGGGAGGTCCCATCATTGTGGCCAGTCTGGGAAGAGTGTCAGAAGCCTTCCTGGCAGGACAAACCACTTGGCTGCAATGACTTTTAGGAGTAAGGAATGCAAATTATAGAATCTGAAAAAAGGGCACAGGCCTTAGAGTGTCTGGGAGAATGGAGGTCAGACACAACTTTGCCCTTTTGGTTGATATTCTAAACTGGTTTGCTTCCCATTGCAGATAAGACTTTTTAAATTAGGAGTAACATCTGATGATGTTCTCTAATCAGTTTTGGCACTTCCCAGAAAGTAAATTATATCCTACAAGTGCTTTTTTAAAGAATGGTGTAGCTTGCTGTGGGTGGAAACATGGGTGGCCATTTGAGATTCTCAGGTGAGTGGGTAGGCATTTAGTTCTGAGTAGGTTGTCTGGTGTAATACAAGACTTCTCTAAGCAGCCCATTTTTATTCTATTCTGTTCCTTTTTGTTTTGTTTGTTTGTTTAATTTTTATGGTGGTAAAATATACACATAAAATTTGCCATCTTAACCATTTGTAAGTGTAAAGTTAAGTGGAATTAAGTACATTCATATACTTTTTTAAAATTTTATTTGTTTAAGTAATCTTAAATACACCCAACATGGCGTTCAAACCCAGGACCCCGAGATCGAGAGTAGCACGCTCCTCCAACTGAGGCAGCTAGGCACTGTGTGCACATTCATATTGTGCAACCATCACCACCATCTATCTCCAGAACTCTTTTTATCTTGCAAAACTAAAACTATAAAGCCATTAAAAATAAATGCCCATTCAGTTTGTATAATCTGCTTGAATACATAGCACTGTGTTCAAGTATCTGTGTTGCTTTTTCTTCGTATTCTGTTGTAAAAAAAAAAAAAAAAAGTGTATCAGGTGTCTTTCAGTTAAGAAAAATGTGAAATAACTCCATCCAGTGAACACTATTTATGTAAGTTGCCTTCTCAGTTGGAGGAGGTATTTATCCCAGGGAGAAAAGGGGTCTATGGTTAGAGTTTCCTTAAAAAAGTATGGAATTCATTTTGACTGTTGAGAACTCATAGAACACAAAAATAATTTGGTAAAGGCCAAATATGTTCACAGGTAATTATTGTTCACCTACTACGGTCAGGTTCTGTAAAGAGTTCCATGGACATAGCAATTGTGTGTTTCTCATAGATAAAAATCACAAGTGCATCCTAATGACTACTATAAAAGCAACAAAGTAACTATTGAAATTCTCATGGCATCTTCTTTGCCTTAGAGAAAATTCAAAAAGCCTTACTGCAGGTAGATCCCAGAAGCTGAACTTGGCAAAGAGGCAGTCGATGCTACCTCTGAAAACTGGACAAAAGGAGCAGGCCCGTAACAGTGTCATCTTGACTTATCCATGAGAATGTTAAAGTGTTAGGAAGAAGCATACATGGAGTTTAGGAGAAACATCGAGATTTCAGAATTATGGCCATGCAGTTAATCCATAATATGTGTCTTTTATAGAATCCCAAAGAACGTTATCCTGTAATTTTAGAGTTTGATAGCAAATGTTTTTAGAGGAGCAGAAAGATATCATGTATTAACAGGCCAGACCTTTTATTTACTTA